GGGCTGCAGCCTACGCGGTCGCCGGCGACTCATGGCAGCCCAGCTCCAGGTTGAGCTGTTGTTCAGCATCTTAGCTGTGGAGGGCAGTGTCACTCACACTCATGTGGGATCTGAACCGAGGCCCTCTGGCATCCCAAGCCAGCTCTTAGCCAACACACCACTCGGCCGGCCCTGGTGGTCTTTTCTTAACCATCAGCTGCAATGTGGTCTGGAAGCCATGTCAGTGAACTTTTGTACTTCACACACTCAAGAACAAAAGAGGGTAAAAAGGCAACGAGCATCATAGCATCGTTATGAAAACCGTTCTGGCCGACAGGTCACCTTTGCAGGGCCACACTGAGAGTCCCTGGATCAGAGGGCAAGCCCATCTGGGGGCTTCCTGGACTCTGTTCCCTGGGCCCCTGGGCCACCCTTAGAGCTGCAGGTCGGAGGGGAAGCTTGGACCTGGGCTCCCCAGCCCTCATGCTGGCTTTATTCTTCCACTCTTGGAAGGTCCAATGAGCCCCATTTCAGAGACAGAGAAACTGAGGCTCTGTGCAGTGTAATGAGCTGCTCAAGGTCACACGGCGACCAGCATAGCCAGTTGTAACCAAAACACTCATTCACCCAGAGCAGAGCGCCTGCCAAAGGGGCTCTGTTGAAGGGCGCAGAGACTGGCCCGAGTTCATCAGGCTGGTAAACTGTCCACACGAATGAAAGCGATCTGACTCAGGGCCTGGAGGTTCTGGGAGGCAAGCGGAGAGGCCGAGGCACTGTGAGGCCTGAAAGGTCGTTGGTGGCCGGGACTCAGGGGCTGTCCAGCTCCACCCCAGGGGACTGTGTGTGATGCTCGTCCACCTGCCTTGTCCGGAATGCAATGGTGATGGAGCCTAGAGGGTCCAGGGGTGTGAGGCAACGCGAGCTCCGGCACCCTGGTCTGGGGAGCTACGGTCCACTCTGCATTGGGCAGCATGCAATCTTGTCGGGAGAAACGATTCTGACCACAGGGTCAGGCGATGGGGGCGCGGGGCAAGGCAATAGGAGTGGCCTTAGAAATGTCCTTCTTCTTGCTCCAGTGCCCCACTCACCTTCAAAGATGGCACTGCCCTGGCCCTGAGCTGCATGGCTGACTACGGAGCCCCTGTCTTCCCTTTCCTTGCTGTGGGGGGCTACAAAGGTAAGCTGGGTGGCCCCAGGGGAGGCCACAAGTGGAAGACATGGGGCAGGAGGTGGGAGTAGTGATGAGGTTTCTCGCTGCTTGGGGTGGCCGGGCTGGTTGGGGGCCTGGGGGAGGCCACAGACCCGCTGGTCCTGCCTCCTTTCTCAGCCGCCACCTTCATCTCTCCAAGGGCTGTTTCGATTCTCTGGTTTTGTGCCTGGGCCCACAGGACTTGCCTTTGGCTGAGAGACAGAAGTGGGGTGTAGGGGTTAGACAATGACTCAGATGAGGAAGGTGGGCGGAAGGGTGTGGCTGGAGTGGGGGCAGGGGGGCAGGGGTGTGCTGGAGGTGGCTGAGTGTTCCTCCTCCCAGGGAAGGACTACTCTGAGGCGGAGGCCCTGATCATGACCTTCTCCCTCAACAACTACCCCCCTGAGGACCCCCGGCTGGCCCAGGCCAAGCTCTGGGAGGCGGGCTTCTTGGAGGAGATGCGAGCCTTCCAGAGACGGACTGCCGGCATGTTCCAAGTCACATTCATGGCGGAGGTAAGGACAACCCAGCTGACTTCAGGTGGGTCCCTGTCCCGGCCCTCTCCTGAGTGACCCTGGGCCCGGGCATCCCACTCAGGAGGACGGGTGATGGGACAGCTGTCTTGCTGCCTTGTGGGGTCCAAGGCGACTGGTCAGGGGTCAGTGGGCTGGCTGGGTGTGTCCACAGCGCTCCTTGGAGGACGAGATCAGCCGCACCACGGCCCAGGACCTACCAGTCTTTGCTGTCAGCTACCTGGTCATCTTCCTGTACATCTCCCTGGCTCTGGGCAGCTACACCAGCTGCAGCCGCGCACTGGTGAGCAGGGGGAGGGGCACGGCGAGGGGCATCTAGAACCTTCCCAAGCAGAGCACCTCGCTGCAAAGGCGACACACCACAGTGCCTCCCCTGGGGGACACCTCTCAGAAGCGTCCCCTGCTCCCTGACTGACCCCAGCTGTGAAACGCAGAGCTACTTGCGAGGCGCAGCCTCCTCCTGCTCGGGGTGGGGGCTGATTGCCAGCCCTGCAGCAGGAGGCTGACCGGTCCCGTTGCAGGTGGACGCCAAGGCCACGCTGGGCCTGGGCGGGGTGGCTGTGGTGCTGGGGGCTGTCATGGCCGCCATGGGCCTCTTCTCCTACCTGCGCGTGCCGTCCTCCTTGGTGGTCCTTCAAGTGGTGCCGTTCCTGGTGCTGGCTGTGGGCGCCGACAACATCTTCATCTTTGTCCTGGAGTACCAGGTGAGCGCCCCTCCCAGGCCACCTGTGTGGCGTCCCAGGCTTCCCACGCCCTGCCACACAGTTCACCATTCCCGCAGAACACAGTACCTTGCGTTCACTCTCTCTCATATAAATGTACGTGTCCCGCATGAGCTCCGGCTGGCTCTCCACCAGCCACATGCCTGTGGTGAGGGGGTCACGCAGCACGTTACAGCCTCCCATGGCATGCTGTCATGTGGTGTTCTAGTGATGTGGCCTCTGCTGTTGGTGAGCACTGAGGGTCCCAGCGATCCTCTGGGCCAGCTCTGAGAAGGGGGACATGTGACAGAACAGTGTCAGCAGATGCTGCTCCAATGAGGAGGGTCTCTGGGTGACGACCATGATGGGGGTGAGGGCCCGTGCCAGCTCCCTTGGTGGCCTGGACTCAGTTCCTGCTGTCCCTACCCAGAGGCTTCCGCGGCACCCCGGGGAGGAGCGGGAGGCCCACATCGGCCGAGCGCTGGGCAGCGTGGGGCCCAGCATGCTGCTGTGCAGTGTCTCCGAGGCCATCTGCTTCTTCCTGGGTGAGCCTGGCAGCCCCACACTGCGCAGGGAGGCCGGAGGCTGTGGGCCGTGGGTGTGGGACCCCTCCCTCTGCGCCGTGTCAGCAGGGGCCGTGGTCCTGAGCCTCTGTTCCGGCCCCCAGGCGCCCTGACCCCCATGCCCGCTGTGCGGGTCTTTGCGCTGACATCCGGCGTGGCGGTGATCCTGGACTTCCTGCTGCAGATGTCGGCCTTCGTGGCACTGGTGTCTCTGGACAGCAGGAGGCAGGAGGTAGGGGGCCAGCCCATCCCCACCTTGGCCCCATGGGGCGGCGTCATCCTGCAGAGAAGCTCAGAGTGGGCTTGTGACAGGAACTTTGCCCTGGAATGTTTGGGCCACGTAGTCCCCGATGTTCCACAGAGAAGTAATTTTGTTTTGGTCATTTTGGAGAATGTGGCTAAAGTACATGAAGTCGCAAAATACAATATAAATCAGACAGCTGCTGTCGCAGAATTTGAAGGTGATTTATCAGCGTAGAAAACGGAAGCAAAGGGGACAGCACACTGGTATCCCCACATTCCTGGCGGGGGGGCCTGGGGTCTGCTTTGGGGCCACCAGAAGGGCTTCTCCCCCTAGGCCTCCCGTCTGGACGTCTGCTGCTGTGTCCGCGCCCAGGAGCTGCCCCCGCCCAGCCAACACGAGGGGCTGCTGCTCAGCTTCTTCCGAAAGGTCTACGCCCCACTCCTGCTGCACCGGGTCACCCGCGTGGTTGTGGTGAGTGACCGGGAAGGACAGTGGGGTCCTCACAGCCCCAGGGCAGGGGCTGCCCAGCCTGACCCTCGCCCCGCCCAGGTCCAGGTGCCAAGGCACAGGGTGGTGGCCGTTGGCTGGGACTCAATGGGCCCAAGTGCAGAATGTCCCCCAAGTCACCCCCGGGATGCCCTGCTGTCCAGGCGGAGAGAGGGACCGTCGTGCGGGAGACCCTCACTGGCACTTCCTTCCTCAGCTGCTGGTGTTCCTGGCCCTGTTTGGGGTGGGTCTCTATTTCATGTGCCACATCAGCGTGGGGCTGGACCAGGAGCTGGCCCTGCCTAAGGTGAGCTGTGCGCTGTATCCTCAGTCTCGGGGGGGCAGGGAGGGTCTGCAGCACACAGTGGGTGGGTGGCCTGGGCCAGGGGCCTCTTGGGGGTATGGGACTGCTCCCCGAGTGGACCTGGGGAGAGGGCCTCATCACCAACCCCAGTACACGTGAGGCAGATGGCCAGGCATCTGGAGGGGGCATGTGACAAGACTGTCCAGGCAGAGTGATCGTGTGAGACTGAGTGCCTGCCCTGTGCAGCCCAGGGACAGCTTCTTCCTGATAGACATCGAGGGTCAGGTGCTGTGGGGCAGGAAAGACCCCCCCAGAGGCTCTGAGAGGCTTCTGGACAGAGAAGAGGCTTGAGGGGGGGTCCGAGCCTATGTAGGGTTTGCAGAGAAGGCAGCAGGGTGACAGCACTGTGAGAGTGACCGGGGTGTGTGGAGGGGTGGGGAAAAGTGTGACTGTCAGGCCGGGGCTAGCATGTGGGGTTGACGGGGTCACCTAAGCGAGGCTAGGACCCTGCTGCTCATCTGGGTGTGTGTGGGCTGCTGGCTGTGGGAAGAATACCTTGGTGCCCGGGGCCCAGGGGAGAGAGCGTTATGGAGAGTCAGACAGACAGCCACTGTGGGGATGGTGATGGACTGGGTGTGGGAAGGAGCCCAGCCTCGGGAGTCATCTGCAGGTGGTGCTGGCCTTGGACGTGACATGACAAGGGAAGAGGGGCTCGAGGAATGGCACCTTTGAGCCACAGGTGGCGAGATCCGGCAGTGAAGCCAGTGGCCTGTGGAGTGACCTTGCCACCCACAGCCACTCCTCACAGGGGCTGACAGTAGTTTTATGGTTTTCGTTCTAGTTCAGGGGTTGGCAAACCTTTGAGACGGAAGAGCCAATCCTGTCCCTCACAACAACTTAAAAATTATACGAGAGCCATAAATATATTTTTACATAATCACCATTATGTGAATAATATCCTTTAAAAATTTTATAAATGAAACTATGATCGTTTTATTTTCATTTTCAATTTTACTTCAGAGCCACATGTACGTACCCAAAGAGCCGCATGTGGCTCGCGAGCTGCAGTTTGCCGACCCCTGGCCTGGTACATCTACCACCTGGTCTTTCTCAGGGATGGTTGTCGTTGATTAATTTTTGTTCCTGGTTATAGAGTGTACTTGTCTGTTTCTTTGTATGTCTTGTAGGTTTTTTGTTGTTGTTGAAAAATGGACACGAGTCTTATCATATGATAACTCTAGACATCAGATTCTCCCCCTCCTCCAGGATTTGTTTTTTTTTTTTCTTCCTAATTTGATTGTTGCTGGTGTCTCCATCCTGGAAATTTGCCTGAGGTGTAAAGTTAAAGTCTGATCAGCTCTTTTCTGAAACTTGCGTTTCCCTGGGCTTTTGCAATGACTTTGCTTCTGAATTTCCTATTCCTTAAATGTCTGTCTCCCAAAAGGAGAAAAAGTGAAAACAAAAACAAAAAAAAAACCACACACCAATAAATCAGGCAATTGCCCTTTACATATCTTGGAAGTCACTTCAGCCTGAGGTGGTGGAGGGTGCAATGGCGGCCTGACTGTGTGCACCACTGAGATCAGAGAAGCAACCAGTGGTCAGAACGCAGATCCCTATCAGGTGGTGGGGCCCTGAGAGCCAGCCCTGGGTCCTGCAAGCTGTGTGCAGCCTGCTCCCAGAGTGCGTGTGGCCGCCTGCCACAGGGCTGGGAGGACAAGGGGTGGGAGCTGCAACCAGGCTGAGCTGAAATCAGTCCAAATTAACCACAGTTCACCAGCCATGTCTTTCCCTGGAAGCCTCAAGCCCTCACTAGACCCCAGATAGTTTTACGAGACAGATCCTGTCAGTGCACATGGCGTCCACGTGGAAGAAGGACTCTTGGGGCTGTCTGCTCCACCGTCTTCCTTGATGTCACTCAGGATTTATGTTGTAGGAGAAGGGACAGGCCTGGAAGGTGCCTGGCACATGGCCTCAGGGTGTGTCAGGGATGCTTACAGGTGCACGTGCATGTGGGCTGTGGTCACAGACCAGCTTGGTAGACTGGCTGTGCCAAACGGGATAAGAAGGGGTAAATCACATGCACGCGTGTGTTGGTATGTGTGTCAGTGTGTTCCTGTAGGCTGGAGTTTGTACTCTGTGCTTGTACCTCCTTGAGTGTATTCTGTACATGTTCCTGGATGTGTGCACCTTGTGGCATGTGCCTCTATGAGTACACCTCTGTGAGTGTGCACTTGCGTGAGTGTACCTCCGTGAGTGTGCACTGTGTGTACCTCTGTGAGTGTACCTGTGAGTGTGCACTGTGTGTACCTCCGTGAGTGTGCCTCCATGAGTGTGAGCTGGAGCGAGCTCCTGGGGATACGTCTGGTCCGGCCTCACTGAGTGCCCTCTGTTCCAGGACTCGTACCTGCTCGACTACTTCCTTTTTCTGAATCGCTACTTTGAGGTGGGGGCTCCAGTCTACTTTGTCACCACTGGGGGCTACAACTTCGCCACCCAAATGGGCATGAATGCCATCTGCTCCAGTGCAGGCTGCAAAAGCTACTCCTTAACCCAGAAGATCCAGTATGCGACCGAGTTCCCTGAGCAGTGAGTCCCCCACCCATACCCACGTCCATGCCCCCACTCGCTCTGGTCCCCCTCCTGCCTCTCCACCCCCACCCTGGTTCCCACTTGCTGCCATGTGCCTGGGGAGGCCCAGTGTGGGGGCTGGGCCACCGGAAGGACCACTGCCTGCCTGCCTGGTCCTGAGTGCCTGACCTCCGCTCCCCGACACTCAGGTCTTACTTGGCCATCCCTGCCTCCTCCTGGGTGGACGACTTCATCGACTGGCTGACACCGTCGTCTTCCTGCTGCCGCCTTTATGCCTTTGGCCCCAATATAGACAAGTTCTGCCCTTCGACTGTCAGTGAGTGAGGGGCCTCTGGGGGCTCCTGGCCCACCACAGCTTGGGGAAACTGAGCCAAGAGAAAGGCAAACACTGGCGAGTCTCCCTTAGCCCCATGTGCTCCTACAGGGTCAGTTGGGGCGGGGGCACCGGCTCAGGGCACACGTGTGGGTGACCAGGCTCAAATGGGTGGACACCTAGCTGGACTGCTGGGCGCTCACGCACCCGTGTCCTTCCTGAGTTGGGCCCGTGCTCCCTGGGCATGCTGGCTCTCATGGGCAGTGGCAATGGAGAGTGAGCCCAGGGGGCACGTGGCCCTGCCCTTGGAGCAGCTGCGTTTGTAGATGGCGTGGGGAGGCCCTGTGGGGCTGCTTCTCTACCCCAAACTGTCCTTCCTCACCTGACTGTAGGGCTTAGCTGTTTCCGTAACAGAGAGGAGAGCCCCTCAGTTAGAGAGAAAGGCCGAGTGCTCTAGAGTGCACACAGGCTGCCGTGCCCTGCGAGGGGCGCGTGCCTGGGGCCGTGAAGCCACGGGCAGCATCAGGGGCGAGCGGGCCGCCCACAAGCCACTGCCCGCAGCCCCTGCTGTCTTCGCAGACTCCCTGGCCTGCTTGAAGAGCTGTGTGAGCTTCACGCTTGGCCCTGTCCGGCCATCGGTGGAGCAGTTCCACAAGTACCTCCCCTGGTTCCTGAATGACCCGCCCAACATCAAGTGTTCCAAAGGGTAGGTCGGGTAGGTCTGCTGCAGAGAGGGGGCCTGTGGGGCCTGCGAGGCTGGTCCAAGCTAAGCCTTTGCTCTGTCACCACCCCACAGCGGCCTGGCAGCGTATGGCAACTCCGTGGATTTGGGCCCCGACGGCCAGGTTCTAGGTAAGTGTGGCCTTGATGGCCTCCCAGTTTCGCATCTTCTCCCTTTGCTCCTCCATGGAGGCCTCTAAGCACCTCCTCGGAGGCCAGTGACTGGGCTCCTGGTGCCTAGGCTTCACCCCTGTGCACCCTGTTTCCTCCTCCTCTCCCCAAATCCACAGAGCAGGACCTGGGGCCACTGGGAGAGCCCTTTGCTCCATCTGTCAGAGGCAGGGCTGCTGCAAAACCAACCTGCAGGCCCCTTGCCTGAAATTTATCCCAAATCCCAACATGGTGGTGGCTGAGCTCTGAAGCCAGGTCACTCAGGGTCTTGAGGGCGCCCGGAGCGAGCTCTGACCTTGTTTCCCTCTCCGCCCCGTGGCAGCCTCACGTTTCATGGCCTACCACAAGCCCCTAAAGACATCACAGGATTACACGGAGGCTCTGCGGGCAGCCCGGGCGCTGGCGGCCAACATCACCGCCGACCTGCGGAAGGTGGCAGGCACCGACCCAGGCTTCGAGGTCTTCCCCTACACGTGAGGCTGGGGGCTGGGTGGGGCGCCCCATGCCCTCGGCTGCGTGCTCCTCCTGAAATGGGCGCGGGAGGTCCTGCCCGCGTTTGACAGTCACGCACCCGCAGGATCACCAACGTGTTCTATGAGCAGTACCTGACGGTGGTGCCCGAGGGGCTGTTCATGCTCAGCCTCTGCCTGGTGCCCACCTTCGCCGTCTGCTGCCTCCTGCTGGGCATGGACCTGCGCTCCGGCCTCCTGAACCTCTTCTCCATCATCATGATCCTGGTGGACACCGTGGGCTTCATGGCACTGTGGGGCATCAGCTACAATGCCGTGTCCCTCATCAACCTGGTCACGGTACTGCTGGGCGCAGGGCCTCACAGGCACGCCCCATTCTCCCCAGGGTCTGGGCACTTTGTCCGGCCCTTTGGCGCTGAAGCCCCCTCTGCCCACAGGCAGTGGGCATCTCTGTGGAGTTCGTGTCCCACATCACACGCTCCTTTGCTGTCAGCACGAAGCCCACCCGACTGGAGAGAGCCAAGGAGGCCACCATCTCCATGGGCAGTGCGGTAAGTAGGTGGGCTGGCGTGCAGCCCCGGGCGGCTGCCACGTACCCAGCCTGACAGCTGCCTGGGACCCCTAGGTGTTCGCCGGCGTGGCCATGACCAACCTGCCGGGCATCCTGGTGCTGGGCCTGGCCAGGGCCCAGCTCATCCACATCTTCTTCTTCCGTCTGAACCTGCTCATCACGCTGCTGGGCCTGCTGCACGGTCTGGTCTTCCTGCCGGTGGTTCTCAGCTATCTGGGTGAGTGCCACGCCCCCCACAGGTGCTGCCAACACTCGGGGAGGAGCCTCGGGCAGAGCGCGGGGGCACTTGTCTCACCCCCCACCCCCGGGACAGCCTGGCCGAGAGCACAGTTCCTCCTGGTCTGTGAGGTACTTCATGTGACACGTGAAAACGTCTTTCCCTGTCATCAGGCATGCATTTCAGACAGTGTCGGTGGCCGTAGGGTCCTCACATTTTAATCCTGACCTTCGGCACAAGGTGCATCCCACGCTGAACAGTGGCGTGTGCGTGACATCCGCACGCAGAGTAGGGCAGACACTTCACAGAACAGTGCTGCCCGTGAAGCATGTCACCCACTCAAAAACTGCTGGTGTTATCTTCAGAACTGGCTTTGTAACTCTAATGGGTGACAACTCAGTTTGGGGGTACACCCTATAGTGTGGCCAGTCCACGGCCCGTTGAGCAGCACATAGCCGCTGAACCTCAGATGTTTTCCATCTTCCCGACTGTGGCTGGTGCTGCAGGGCCCAGCCTGTGGCTGACGCTGACCCCGCCCTCCGTGTCCCTCCAGACAGCCCAGCCCCTGACTTGTTCATGGCGACTGTCACAGCCCTGCAGAAAGCTCACCGTTTCAGCTTCTACCAGCAACATCTGTAGTGCCCACTCCTGTTTCCTCCTGGAACATGGTTATTTGTCCCCACCCTGAGCTTTAAAGGAGCCCCAGGGTGAGGGTGTGGCCTCCTCTCAGGGTGGGCAAGCAGACAGCAGTTCCGTTTGCCCCCAGATGATGATAACCGTAGCGGTAATATGGGAGCAAACATTTGCAGAAGGCTGTTTGTGTTCCAATATATGTACACCTGTCCTCCTAGCACCTCTACAGGGGAAACTGAGGCCGTGCCCCAGTCACAGGCAGCACCAGGGCCTACCCCCGGCACCCCAGTCTGTTGCAGGGACTTCCTGACCCTCTCTGGAAGGACAGTGTGTGTTGGGGATTAGGAGCAGCAGCCCCAGGTCGGCCCCTGGGAGGACCCCAGAGTGTTGGGAGGGAGGGAGGAAGGGAGGAAGGCACTCGCAGGTCCCACCCCTGCGGAATGGCCCAGAACCTCCCTGCAGTGTGGGCCCTTAGGCAGTGTCCCCAGAAGGAGAGTGACAGGCAGAGGCTGCCGGGACTGTCAACGAGGACCAGCTTCTCCCAGCATGGAGTGTTTGCTGTGCTGTGAGGAGAGGATGGTGCACAGGCTGTGCAAATGACCTTCCCCTGCAAGGTCATGCTGATGGGGGGAGAGGGGTCGGCTCTGGAAGGTGGATGGCCAGGAGGTTCGGCACAGATGACAGCTGAACTGGCTGCTGGCTTTTTGGGGTTGCGTGGAGCAAGGGCTGGGGTGCAGTGGGGGGGCTCAGGCTCAGCTGTGGACCTTTTTTGGCTGTACCACTGAGCTGGCTGCCTCGCTGACCATGGTCCCCTCTGTCTGTCCCTCTGCAGGGCCTGATGCCAATCCAGGCCTGGTGCTGGAGCAGAAGCAGGCAGAGGAGGCGGCCATGGCTAAGACGGCCTCCTGCTCAAAGCACCCATCCCCAGTGAACCTGGCTAAAAGCATGTATGTCAACTACAGCTTTGAACATCCTGCCAGCTGTGATGGGCAGACGTCGTGATGCAGCCAGAGCCCCATCCAGGCTCGAGGGGCCATGAGGGTTCCCCGGGGAACCTTGACCCCTCCTCTCCCTCAGGGCCCAGGAGAAGCTGTCCCTGTGGGAGTGCCCATAATGGGGCACCTTCTGGCCAGCAGGTCCCCGATGGGCCCTCCACCCTGGCAGCAGGCCTGTTTCCAAACGGTCGACACAAGATCGCCTCCTTCTCCCTTGGACCTGGGTCTTGGGGTGTCTAGGAAGACACCCTTCTTGACATTTGTTCCAGACTCAGCACTCTCCCATAGCCACCCACTTCCTATCCACTCCCCTCCAGTGCTTGAAGCAAAAAAGTTTCACTTTGGTGTCAGTCTTGAAGGCTCTTCAGCATCTCTGAGAAAAGAGAGGACACTCACCCTGGCTGCAGGCTCCGCAGAAGGCCAAGGAGAGGTTTCCTGCTGGTGGGAGAGAATGTTCTGGAAAACACTCTGTCCATGGATGGACCCCGTTAGACATAGCACTTGGTTTGGCCTCCAGCTCCATTATTAAAGCTGTTGCCGCCAGTGGAGGCCACCCGTGTCTGCAAGGCTGCGAGCTCCTGGGACAGGCCGGGCCTCCCACAGTTGTCGCAAGCCTGGAGCACAGGCCAGGGCCTCAAACCAGGCCAACCTGAGACCCATGGAGAAGAGCAGACTGAGGAAAGCACCTTGCTCAGTGCGTGCACACTGGTACTTAATAAATGTCTGTGGAGGAGAAATGGCGTTTTATGTCACATGTATTATTCTGGCTACCTCTGGGTTTAAGATAATTTATTTTTTTTTAAACTGGGAAACATCTGTTTTTCCAGGACCCATCAGCTCCAAGTCAAGTAGTTGTTTCAATCTAGTTGTGGAGGGCGCAGCCCAGTGGCCCATGTGGGGCTTGAACCAGCAACCTTGGTGTTATGAGCTAACTGGCTGCCTTAAGATAGTTTTTGTAGGATTGGCCGAGTGGCGCATTGGTTAAGAGCTAGCTTGGGACGCCAGAGGGCCCCAGTTCGGATCCCACATATGAGGGCCAGTGACACTGCCCTCTACAGCTAAGATGCTGAACAACAGCTCAACCTGGAGCTGGGCTGCCGGGAGTCACCGGCAACAGCGTAGGCTGCAGCCCCTGCTGCAGTGGGTTGCCATGGGCTACTGTGTGTAGCCAACAGCCAGCGTGAGCGGCCGTCCAGAAGCCGGTGACTGATCTGCCTCGCCCGGAAAGAGTGCAATGATGGTGCCAACTTGGGCCAATGAAGCAACGTCCTCCACAACTAGACTGAAGAACAAAAGGACAACAACTTGTCTGTTCCCCTTCCCCCAATTCCCCAGCACTGTTCCCATCCCCCCAACTCCCCAATAAAAATCTTAAAAAAAAAAAGATAGTTTTTGTAAATTACACAAATACCACAGGTGGGAGGGTGATTCATGGAGATGTCAGTTTGTGTTTTCCCTCCCCCTTTGCAAGAATGTAGCCAGGCCATTGTGTGCTCTCCCTTAGAAGTGACTTTCAGGAGTGGGGGCGACTCCCCCGGAAGGAGGCACAGAGCCTGTTGGTCTGGCCAGTGCAGGGCCCTGCGGCTGCTCCCTTCCCTCAGGGCCCTCAGCTGGGAGAGCATGGAAATATATGTGTCTAAATACATGTGCCTACGCGTACACACACATTTCTACAGATAGCTCTGTCTGTAGCCATCTGCATCTACATTGGGCTAAACAAGCTCATTCTGACGCCGCCAGCTCTAACCCACCACCAGTGTGTCATTCTAGGCTCTTTCCTTGCTTATCTGTAACCAGTCGTGCCGACAGTCAGAAGCCCGGCCCCACCTCCCACGCCAGTCTCAGTTGCTCATTTCCACTGTGCAGACACACAATTTTCAGAGCGGATAACCCTGCAGGAAACTTTAGAATGAAGCTGCTGCTTGCAGTCCTTGGCCCCACCCACTCCACTCGTTTCCAGTTACTCAGGTCAGCATCTCCACTCAGTGGGGCTATCCCATACATTGGTAATAGTTTTGTCCCATTCTGCATTGCATCCCGGGACCCCCAATCTCTTGATTTTTAAAATCTGCACACAGTAAGGTTGTTCTCGGTGCTGTGAAGGTCTCTGGCTTTGACAATACACCTGCCAGGTGTCCAGCAGCAGTCTCAACTACAATAGCTTCACCCATCTGACCTTTCCACACACCCAGCCCCTGGTAAGCACTGCTCTGATTACGTTTCCATGGCCCCACCATTTTTCAGGATGTCATACTGTGTGGCAGCTTCCTTAGACTGGGTTCTATCTCTGAGCAATATGTTTTTAATATCCACCAGAATCGTTCTGCTGCTTCGGTGCTCCTTCCTTCTTGCTGATGACAATGTTTCACTGTGTGCACGGACCAGTGTGTTCATCCATTCATCTCTTCAAGGGTGTCTTGGTTGCCTTGTTTTTGGCAATTATGAGTAAAGCTGCTATAAACATCTATGTTTTCATGTGGACAAGGTCTTCAGTCCAGTTGAGTGAATACCTAAGAGTGTGATTGCTGGATTGTATGGTAAGAGTGTTAGCTTCTTACTCACTTTATTTAAATATTTAAATTTTTTTTTTTTTGCTGAGCCATCCTGCCACCTGTTGGCAGCTCAGCTCAGGCCGGGACTCGAACCACTGTTGCTCAGAGCACGCACTCTTGAGTGAGCGCTCTTAACCAACTAAGCCACTCAGCCAGTCCTAAATATTTTACTTTTTGAACAGGGAATGCAAGCACATGGTACCGACTTCAAAGGTGGCCTCCTCTGTTGTTCCTGTTTCCCAAGTCCTCTCTGCAGAGGCAGTTTCTGCCTACCTTTTGTGATGCTTTCAGATGTTATTCAAAACCTGGAAATACAGATGGCTGCATGTCTTTCCCAAGTCAGACTGAGGCAATACACAACAGGCCCATCCCAAGACTCCGTAATTCTCTAGGGCAGCGGCTCTCAGAGTATAGTCTGTGGACCCCTGGGGGTGGGGCGGTCTCCAAGGTCGAAGTAACAAATGATGTTATTTGCTTTTTTACCGTATAGACGTTTGCAATGATGGCACAAAAGCAATGGTGGGTAGACTGCTGGTCTTAGCAGGAATTAAGGCGGTGGCTGTGTGTGCTCGGGCTGCCGTTACAAAGCACCACAGACGGATCGGCTTAAACAACAGGAATTTGTTTTCCCACAGTTCTGGAGTCTGGAGTCAGGGCTGGTGTCTGGTAAGACCTCTGTTCCTGACTCAGATGCAGCTGAAATGCTGCTGTGTGCAAACGTGGCCTCTCTTCTGTGCATACTCAGGGAGACTGTGCCTCTGTGAGGGTGTAAAAGATCCATTCTAAGCAGGTCAGACCAATGGATATCGGTGTGACAAAGCAGGAAACATTGTTTCAGATTCCATATTGCACCTAACCTCTAAGAAATTACCACTAGCTGAATTTGGGTGTAGTTTCAAAGAATAATAGTTATTTGAAAAGACAATTGAAACAGTCCTCTCATTTACAGTCACTGACGCTGCGAGCCAGGCTTTCTTCACATACATCAATCCCAACAGCCGGCTGCAGGGTTCAGGGCAGCAGGTGCCAGATCCTGCTGCCTCCTCCTCAGCCAGACGCTGAAAAGACGGAAAAACTATAAAACTCTGCTCCTCTTCTCACTAAACTCTTGCTTTGAAGAATGTTATCTCTTCATAAAAATGTTAACACGTAATGTGCTTTTTATGGTTTAAAAATGAATAAAGTTTTGTTTTAATTTCTAATGTGGTAACTACCAATAAGCATAACCCACATGAAGGCTACCGGAGTCTTCAATGGGTTTTAAGAGCATAAGTGGGTCCTGGGTCTAAAGCGGCAGAACCACTGCTCTAGGACGGTTTGAGTTTGACTTTACTTACAATCCCTTAGAACTCATACACCATGAAGTTGTATGTTGTTAACTTGTAGGTTTCAGTCGTAGAGATGCGAATCATTTCCTACCCACTTGAAAAGGCATCCTCCGGCTATTTACCATCTCGTAGGACACCAGCTAGCTTTGTATCCAACCCAACCACCTGGCTGTTTTCTCGGTTAAGTACCCGGTTCCTCCCAATGCTGCGAACCAGCGTTATCACATCACTGGGGACTGCGTTAATTAAACTGTTGAATAAAATCTTTGACACCGTTTATAACTTTTATGCTTGGACGACACGTGGGACACGCGTACGCACGCTGCGCACACGCACGCTTCCCGACGGCGGCACGCCAGACCGTCGCGCACCTTTTCCACGCAGCTCCGGGCACGCACGCAGCCTACGTTCTTTCTTCTGCTGCCCATGTCACCTTGCGGTTCACCCAGCGCGCCGTCGGTAACGGGACACACGCACCCGCCCGCACGCGCTTTCCTCCTCCCACCCATCAGCGGAAGGGTCGCACGGTCGCGCCGGGAAACGGGGGTCGGACCCCGGCCGGGAGCGCGACCCACAGGCCACACGGCAGGACCGGGTCACGTGGTTCCGCCGCCCCCGCTTCCGCCCGTCTCCAACATGGCCGCCAGGCGCCTCAGTCGCGCAGCCCCGGGCCTCCTCGCGGTTAGGGGCCGCTTCGGGGCCTAAGTGCACCCCATCAGCGAGGCTCCCGGGGAGCCGGCGGGGCGGCGGGAGCAGCGGCGGGATCGCCCCGGCGCAGAGCGGCCGCGGAGGCCTAGCGAGCGCCGGCCGGAAGTCCCGCGGGCGCGCCGGCGGCGGGGCCGTTACCGCGGCGCACCGGAAGTGGCCGTGGGCCGGCGTCCGGGCCGCGCCTGCAGTGAGCGAGCTGCCTCCGGCCGGCGACGCCATGGAGCCAGGGGCGGCCGAGCTGTACGACCAGGCCCTGCTGGGCATCCTGCAGCACGTGGGCAACGTCCAGGACTTCCTGCGCGTGCTCTTCGGCTTCCTCTACCGCAAGACCGACTTCTACCGCCTGCTGCGCCACCCGTCCGACCGCATGGGCTTCCCCCCGGGGGCCGCGCAGGCGCTGGTGCTGCAGGTGACGCGCGCCGGGCGGGCGGGCGGTGGGGCGGGCGGCGGGAGCCCCGCCTCCGGGTGCCCCGACCCCTGGGTCCCCCCGACTCCGGGAGCTGCCGATCCCTCCGCTCCTGGCCTCCGTTTCCCCCTCCGGCGCTTTCCCGGACTCGCCTCCTGGAGCCGCGGCTGCGCGTAAGCAGAGACGCTGGTCGCATATCGAGTTGCACCTCTGGGAGCAGGACTGGCTGTCGACAGCCTGGGTGACACGGGGTGCGCTTGGCTGTCAGAAGCAGCACACACCGCTCAGGGCCGGCGGAGCTCCGCAGCCCGGGAGCCCTGGGGCTGCCCGTCCGGGAATGCAGACGAGCACCTAGACCCCCCAAACCACAGGCTGGCGGTGGGAGGGAGACTGGTGACTGGTGGGTGGGGTCCCCTTGTCTGAAATGTGACTTCCCAGGTCAAAGACAGCACACGCGAGCATATAGCTGTGTTTCCCAGGTTACCTGTGTTGTATATTTGAGGTCCTTCACTCGCTGAAGCTGCCTGGGTACCTCGGAGAGTGATAAGCAAGGACTTGCAGAACGTGTTTGCACTCGCGGCGCCACAGGCAGAGGCGCACTGCGGTTTGGATGTTAAGTAGTGGTCTCTCGCCTCCTAACACTTGTTACAGTTACGAAGGAAAAACACAGGCGGTCACAACGATCTTCGCAAGGCCAGTTGTGTGACAGCCACGGGAAGGAAAGGATAGAAAGGGCGGTTTGGAAATCAGAAAGGGGCGGTGGGACTGGGATGGGAGGAAAGTGGGTGCCCGGCTGAGCAGCGAGCCTGTTTGTAGGAGCCTGAGAAAACAAATGCTGGTGTCGCCCCCACAGCCCTCCAGCACTTTACGGCATACAGTGCTTGCAGATGTGATCTGGAATCTTGCTGCCAGCTGTGGGTTGCTCAGGAATTTTCCTGGTGCCCGAGGAAGAAACCAAAGCGCACGCTGTTTGAGTAACTACCAAAGATAATACGGTGTAATGAGGGGTGGAGTTGAGTCTCCATTTCAGAACCGAAGGCCCTGCCTCATCCTTCCAGGGGCCTCGCGCCATCGGACCAACGGTTTCTAGCAGGCCCTGTGGCAAGTTCCTACTTTCCTGGATGTTCCTGTGAAGTAGATGCGGTTGATTTTTTATGGCCAGTGAGAGTACTGACTCAGCAAGGGTAGGTGATTGACCAGATTCCTCGTAGAGCTGGAACTCAAAACTTCATTTTTGTGATTCCAGATGTTTCTGCTCCATTATTCAACCGTTCCACAATAGAGTGGGAACGCTGTGATCTAGGGTGAGTGCAGCTTGCAGAAACGGCATGGAAGAGAAAGGAACAGTTGTTATGGTGGGGGCTTTACGTCCAGGACGTCATCTTACCTAATCCTAACACAACCTGAAAGGTTGGGTTTTGGCCTTGTTTTACAGGTGAACTGGCAGGTAACCCGTATCTATACGTAAACCTACTACGCTCCAAGCATAACTTACAGTTAAGACTTGGTGACCAGTTTAAGTGGAGGTGAGGGCAGGGCAGGGCAGGGATGAATCAGCGATGACCCAAGGTTTCAAACTTGGGCAGTTGGAATTGCGATAATGCGTTAACTGTACTGTCACTTGAGCTTGGGGAAAAGCCTAGTTTTAGACAAGTTGAGTTGGAGATCGCAGACAGAAGCCCCTGCCCCCAGGCTGTTGGAGTTTGGGACTGGACCCCGGGGAGCCAGCGAGCCTGAGTGGTCTGAGGGAGATGAGCTGAAGGTGGAGGGTTGGAGGGGAGAAGCAGGAGGCTGTAGACTGGGAGGGGGTGGGGCAGCAAGTGTCACGGAGACCAAGGGGACAGTTTCCAGCGGAGGGTGGAGAAGGGCTCTGTTTCTGGAAGTGGTTCCCGCCCATCAGCATTGCCTGGGAAGTGTACCAAAGCAGACATTCCCTCGGTGTCTTGGTTGGAGGGTCAAGGTGACACCTGGGAGCTGTCCCTTAACCACAGGGGCATGTGGCAGGACACCTGTGAGGCAGGGTTCAGCACCGTGCAGTTTTGTTGCGGGTAGGACGTCGAGGTACTGATGAGGACAGGTTTCCAGTTATAAGATAGCTAAGCCGTGGGATGTAACACACAGCTTAGGACGATAGTCAGTGCTATGGTGACAGCTTGCCATGGCGACAGGTCACGGCAGTGGCGCGGGGATCACTGAGGGTCCAGCTGTTGGTCAGAGTGTACACGTGAAACTAATAGGATACTGTCAGCTGTGCCTCAAAAAGAAAGAAAATCAGAGCGAGTGACTTGGTACCACACAGCGTCACCTCCCAGCGGTATGGGCAGCCCCCTGACCACACTGTGCTCGTCTGCCCCTGGCTCGAAGGCAGAAGACCCTTCCTATGGACACTCCACCCAAGGGGAGGTGCTTGGGGTCTCTTCAGAGCACAGGCAAAGAGGGTATGGATGGGAGTGTTGGGTTGCTCCATTCGGGAACTCGAAAGTGTTCCCCGATGTTTTGAGGAGTGATGTAAAACTTGTCAGGCTTTTCCTCCTAATTCTAAGGGCTTGCACAGCCTGGATACATGCCCGAAGGACCCTCATCAGGAAAGACACAGGTGAAAGGTGCATTCCTTTCCCTGATGTGTTAGTATGTTCTAAGAAAAAATAGTTCAGAATGACATTTCATTCGTTTTCGTTGACACTTTATCTGGGAGTTGCTGGCCAGCCTGCACGAGAGAAGCCTGCCCGGGACAGTCAGGAAAGCCGGTTCCATCTGTCCACTCACAGAGCTCATGGGGACATCTTGGGCGACTCACTCTCCTGTCAGTTGAGAAGGTTGGGTGGAGGTCACAGATGGCTCTAACAGCCCTGTGATCCGCGATTCTACAATAGATTGAGTGAGAGCTGGGGGTGCTGGTGAGCAGAGGCAGAGCTGGGCGAGGACCAGGCAGGGTCTGCTGGGCCCCAGGTATTTGGGGGGCCCTGCTGTGGCTCTTTTTGTGGAGTTGAGATGAAGGTCTGGGGCATCAGGGGGATGAGCGGTTCCGCGGGCAGAGGGTCCGGGCCACAGACGTGGATGCTGGACAGCCCCGGTTCTCAGAAGGCGTGGGAGTGGGCTTTTCCTGTCTCCGGTGTCACATAGCTGGCACCGTTACAGTGTGCAGGCTTCCCAGACTGGCTTCTGTCACTTAGTAACATGCACGTGAGGCTCCTGCGTGTCTTCCCGTGGCTGACAGTCCATCTCTGTAGTGCTGGTAACGGTCCGCTGTCTGGACGGGCACTTTGTCCAGCACCCACTGAGGGATGTCTCTGCTCCTAGTTTGGGGAGTGGTGACTAGAGCTGCTCTAAACATCTGTGTGCGGGGTTTTGTGTGGAATTAGTGTTCAGTGCCTGTGGGCAAATACCAAGGGCCACGGCTGCTGGGTGGCTGGCAGCTCTGCTCCCACCGCGCTCCTAGCTGGGGCTCCCGCCTCCAGCGGCCACAGGGGCTTTTTCTTGAGGACCCCGCCTCTGGGGCTGTGTTTCCCGAGGAACATGGGTGAAGGTCTGACCAGACCCTTCCTTCCAGGAAACCCTCCATGTGTCTCACCACCAGTGCTCATTTGCCTCATTGTGATGGCACAGCGGGTGTGACCTCAGCCTCCGCCGCCAGCCGTCATGAGTGGGCCTGTCCTGGCTGCACTTCCAGGGTTATGTGTGCCCTTGGACGTGTCTGGGCCACGCTTCATGTGTTTCATGTGCCCTTTCTGGGGGACAGTCCCAGCGCTTTCATGGGCGTGACTGTGTTCCCGGAGAGACGGAGGGCTGGCTCACCTTCTGCATCCCAGAGGTCGGGAGCTGTCCGTAGGAGCCGCGTCTTGCACAGTGTAGGCACATCCTGGAAGTCCGTTGGGTGAACGCCCAGCCTTCTGAGACCCAGACCACCGAGCCCAGGAGGCAGCAGCCGGCCGCACAGGAAGCCTGCCGCCGTCCTGTGAGTGAACTTGACTCCATCTCCTCTGCCGTCTGAGCTGTGGGCCTGAGCAGCGCTCAATACCTGGGCAGCGTGTGCTTTGCACGGCGGACAGACAGAGGGCTGAGGGTGATGGCGGCAAGGCCGTTCAGTCATGCACCCTGAGACGACAGGTGGGCTCCTGCGGGCCGTGGCTTGTGAGGCATCCCTGGTCGGTTTGGAGCTGCCCCAGGAAGGGACGCTTCCTGGCAGCTGTTGGCCCAGTCTGAGTGCGTTTCCGTCCCGCCCACGGAAGCGCTGTCCCCCTTGCTGCCATTCCTCCTTCCTGCGTGTTGCTGCGCCTGCCCCTGTGGTGCATTCTGGGAGGTGAGCTCATTGCTGCATGGCTGTTTGATTTCAGGTATTCAGAACCTTTGACCACATGGCCCGTCAGGACGATGACAAGAGGAGGAAAGAGCTGGAGGAGAGGATGAGGCGGGAGGATGCGGTGGCCGTGGAGCAGGAGCTGGAGGCCGGCCCCACCGCGGAAGCAGAGCTGGCCGGACCTGAGCGTCCCCCAGGCCGGCGGGGCGCCAGGCAGGAGGAGGCCGAGCCACCGGGTGCAGACGCGGGCGCCGACGCCGGCGCTGCGGAGGCCCCGAGGGAGCCCCCGGCCCCTCCCAAGTAAGAGCTGCTGCTTTCTCGCTGGGCCCGGGCTGCGGTGGGTCTGAGTGGGCCTCCCCGGTACCATGCGGAGCTGTCTCAGCGTTGCCTGAGCTCTTCTTGTGTGCAGCTGCGTGACAAGGCTTTGGTGGCACAGGATAGCAGGGCAGGGGCCTCAGTGTCCTCCTTTTTCTCCTGGTCAGGTCAGGCCAGGCCCGCCGGTCACACAGCCGGTGAAGACCTGTCGTCCGGAGACTTCGCCCCAGTCCTGTCGCTGCCCTTCCTGCGGGGCTGTCTGATATGAGGACTGTGCACCCAGAGCCCTTAGACACTGCCACCTGGTAAATGTCTTACCTGGGGCAAGCAATGTCACCTTTCTGAGTCGCCTGTGAAGTGGAGGTGGTCATAGCACCTCCCTCATGGGCCGTTGGGATGGCACCTGGCCGGGCCGGGAGCTGAGTGGGGTCGGGCAGCCCCTGGACCTTGTGTATGAGGGACAGCGTCGGAAAGGCAGTGCACCTCTCGGCCGGCAGGTGTCGCTGTAGCTGGGCTGGGCCGCCTCTGGCTTTGCCTTTATAATCACAAACAGAATTCCTTAAAAAAGAAGAGAAAAGGAGGAAGGTAGCACCGAGAGTAAATTATTTTCTGGAAACAGTGTTTCTTCCCTGGGCGCTGGCCTGGGTGAGGGACAGGGTGCTCCCGCACTGACCTGCTGAGGGGCTTCGTGACCTGGGTGCAACCAGGCTGTCCCTCTGCCCAGAGAAGGGGACCACAGAGCCATGGGAGGCTGTCACAGCACTGGGGATGTGCCGGCCCGTGTGGGGCAGTCTGGTAGAACAGGACTACTCAGGAAGCTGCCCCCTGCTGTCCCTTCCTTTAGGTGGCGCAGACTTGGTGTCTGCAGTGGCTTCGACCTTTGCTTAAGTCACAGTCAGATGCAGGGCCAGAGGTGTTGGGGACTGAGGCGGGAGGCAGTGGGCTCAGTGGGCTAAACGGGCGACAGGCAGGGCAACCACCCTCAGGAACTGTCAGGACTAAAACCACCGGCTTGGAGGTGAGTGTTTTCTGTAACACTAAAGTGCAACTTTTATGCCAGCTTGTTCTTTCTTTTTAATTTTTTAAATTTTATTTTTATTATTATTATTAGTTTCAGGTGTACAAAACAATGCAATAGTTATCCTTTCACCCCTCAAAAGTGACACCTCCCCCTCATCCACTGCCCCCCCCCACCAGCTTGTTCTTTTCCATTGGAAAACAGATATACACCTCACAGAGGACGAACTAGGAAGAATTTAAACGCACGCGAGAGCAGACACAGTACGAGCCTGCGTGTTCTCGTCACCAGCCCAGCACCACCTGCTTCCCCCTCCCGTCATTTCATCAGCGTTTAAACTTCAAGTTTTCACATACCTTAATTAACAAAACGATCAGAGGTTTGTTTACATCTACAAATAAGGCTTCAGCTACATGTCGTTTGTAGTTGACACTCAATTTCTCTTATTTCCTCAAAATTTATCTGTTAAAAAGACCAAGTTTTTCATCGGTTGAGTCCCTGCATTCTGAACGGTGCTGACTTTCGTAGGGGAGTGACCCGACAGTGGGTTTAGGGGGGACGCTGTCGGAAGTTTCAGTGTGCAGAAGTGAGTTCTCCCTAAGGACAACCACTGCCTGTATTTTCTTCTCTAAAATTTTTCATGTTGTATATATTTTTCTTGCTACAAATGCTGCACACTCTGTGTGGACATTCCTGACATGGTGCCCATGGGCCAGTCCTGTCCTCGGCTGAACGTTATATTTAGACAAGAGTGCAGAGGGATTAATAACTCCAAAAAATAGATTAAAAACTTAGGAGAGAGCTTTCTTGGTAGAAGGAGGCACGAGTCCCCTCCGAGCTCGGGGAGGGGAGGAGCTGCAAGGACCTAAGACGCTTAATTATAGTGATAATCTAGCATCTTGAAGAAAGTATGCAGACAATTTGTAATCCAGGAGAGGACCTTTGTGAACTATAACACCAACAAGGAATTCTTATAAAAAATACACAGAGAATTGTCCGAACCGGGGGAAGCACAGACAAGCGATCAGGGGGTCTCAGGAACAAGTCTGGGAGGACTGACATGCAGGGAAATGCCAGGGACATGCAGGGAAAAGGGCCGAACTGCGTGCTGGTTCATGGTATTTAATTGGCAAGTGTCGTGACTGAGCTGAGCGTGACCCAGCCCGCATAATGCGCATGTGCTGCTGGGCATCCTTGGAAGTCAGCCTGCCTGTCTCTTAGGCGGGCCCTGACTCAACACTGACCCAGCAGGTCCTCTCCTGGGTGTGGGGCCAAAACAGGCCCTTCGAATTTCCGATGACACTGGCGGGAACATGCCTGTCGCATACCACGGGCTCCCGCTGCTGCTTCCCGTAACATTTCATGATTCTTGTTTCAGCTCTCTCCCTTCCCCGGCTTTGTGTGTGTGTTTTTGACAAATCGCAGAAATCACAACATCCCACCCATCCTCAAACTTAACACATTATGGACAGGTGACGCAGATTCGCGTCTATACATCACAGCTGTGCAAGACGGATGATACAAATCTGCGTTTTTAACACGTGCTTGGTTTCCACGCACTATACAGTTAACTACGCAATACATGGAGCCTTTCTCCGAATGTCCTGCTGATGAATGTTTATAGAAACGTGACCTCACTCTGAGTTAATGATCTGTGATAAATATAGAGAACAAACAGCTCTGCATTTTCCTCTGTTGCTCTGCTCTGCATTTAGTCAGCATTCAGATTTCAATCACTTTACACCCATGACGGAAAGATGTAGGTCTTACAGGAAAAAACACAGACGCAGCACGCCCAGGAACATCAACCCAAACCCCTCGTGTGCCTCATGCGGACGCCGC